CCCAAAGCAGGGCATGTTTTATATGTGGAGAGACAGATGGCTGACAATGTGATGGGATATTTAACTTTTGCAAAATTTTAGAAAATTTCGGATACAGAAAACCATTACCAGAGAGAAGGACAAGAGAGTACAGAACATTATTTTTACCCTATTCAGTTGAATATTCCATTATTTTTAATTTATGTGAAAAGCCTAGCTTGATTAATATCAGGGAAAAAAGCATTGCGGTTTTGGAAATGTAACTGCACATAAACTATGTCAGCAGGCCTGCCATTTGACATACTCAGTATCTTTAGTCATAAGACATTAAAGATAAAACCCCTAAAGATATCTACTCATTAGGTTGTTTTATACTCTTGAACATCATGATTCAAGCCAGGGATTGGACAGTAAAAGGCTTAAAAAATGTAGTTGTTGAGAGCAACTGTTATTCAGTAACTGAAAACATACTCTCTCCTTTTGGCAGAAATTGTCCTTTGGCAACAGAAAGTATCCTTCTTTTTTCCTCCACAAAGCCTCAAAAATGGTAAAGTTGAGCTGAATGGATGTCTTTAGTACCTACAACCAGGAAAAGGATGTGTTTCTCTGAAACATAGTGAAAAGTCCATAGAAGGCTGGATTAGGAAAGGTTTGAAGAGATCTCTTTTCTTATACTGCAAAAAGCCTTTAGTTTGTCATCATGTCCTAAAGTGAGATCAGCTTGTAGCAAATTCAGTTTCCTTGCAGGAATTACAAATTGGTTATAAAGCAGGAAACAGAAAAGAGCACTACATCTGGTCACAGTAATTATTGCCATTTGTTAAGATATTTTAAGCATTAATTAATCCCCTTAAACAGAGCTGAGGAACCTAGTCTTCAGTTGGTTTATGTTAAGAAGAGTGATACCTCTCTTTCGTGACAGATTTATTCATAGGTATTCACTTTGGTACATTTACGGTATATCAAGTAGAACAATGATATTTGCTTGATTTCACCAAGCATAAAATGAATTTGTGGTGAACTCTCTAATAGCTGAGGATTTGATTTGACATTCAGGTTGACGATATCTTAGAGAGGCCATTTTGTAGGTAAAGGTTCCTTGTGATCTCACCTGTGCCTAACATGTCCACATTGACTGCTATTTCCTCCTTTGCATTTTAATTACAAATAGATGAGAACTACCTGGCTCCCAACCAGCCAGAGCATATTTCATTACTCACATTTGTTCCCTCTGTGTTATAAAATTTCCACTCCTTTACCTAGCTAACTCCTACTGATACTTCAAGACTGAGCTAATGCCATCTTCTCTAGGAAGCCATTCCTAACCAGCTGGTCTGGGCAAATCTCCACACAATATTTATCTCAATGTGGGTCACGCTAATGTGTCTGTTTCCCCGAATGGACTGTAATATACAGGAGTCCCCTTTATCTGCAGTTTCATTTTCCATGGTTTCAGTTCCTGTGGTCAACTGTGGTCAGAAAATATTAAATTTTCTGGAAAATTCCAGAAATAAACAACTCATGCATTTTAAATTGTGTGCCTTCGTGAGTAGTGTAAAGAAATCTCATGCTATTCAGCTCCATCCTGCCCAGGACGTGAGTCATCCCTTTGTCCAGCTTATCCGTGGTGCATTTGCTCCCTATCGACTAGTCAATTAGGAGTCATCTTGGTTATCAGATTGACTGTCGCAGAATTGTATTGCTGTGTTCAAGTAATCCTGATTTTACTTAATAATACTTTATTCATAATAATTATTAGTATTATTGTTAATTTCTTACTGTGCCTAACTTATAAAATCAACTTTATCATATGTATGTATGTATATGAAAAAATATAGTATATATATGGTTCATTACAATCTGCGGTTCAGGTACCCAATGGGAGTCCTGGAATGTATTCCCTATAAGATAAGAGAGGACTCCTGTGCTTGGAAATATGACCACTATGTTTTGAATCCTCAGTGCAGTCTGTTGCTCCAGTACCTTATGTGATTAAGTAGCTAATTACTCACTGGAGTACATTGGTTAATATAAAACCTTTCCTGCCTCTGGGACTTACAGTTTATTAAGAAAAATATACAAATACATATATGATTCTAAGGCAATACAACAGCATAAAACAGAGTGGCATACCTTAGACTTGAGATCATGTCAAGTATTTGGGTAAATAAAATTGAAACCTAAAGAATGAGTAGAAGTTACTTAGGCAAAGGCTTTGGGGTAGCTGGAGCACTGCAAATAGAATTTTTGTGTGTGCATGCGCACCTGTATTATGTTTTAGAAATGCCCACAGTACTTCAGTGAGGGATAATTTACATATAGTAAGATGTGACAATCTTCAGGCTACTGCTTGAAATGTTAACATATGTATGTACTTATCTAACCTCCACCCAAATCAAGATAAGAGAACATTTTTATCTCTTCCCCAATTTTTCTTGTGCCCCTATTCTAGACAATTCCACCCCGGGAAGTAATTACTTTTCTAATTTCTATTACTCAATATGACACATTTAAAGACATGAAAAATGTTCAGAGTCACAAATTTAGGTAGCAAGGTTGATAGAAGAGAGAGAGGGAGGAGAATGCGGAGGTAGGCAGGTAACAGATCATGGAGAATCTTGAGGATCTAGTTTGAGATTTGGGCTTTTGGCCTATGTGAAAAAGTACCTGTTGAAATCTGAGCATGAGGGTGACAGGATTACGTTAAGGTATCAACAGCTGTACTACTTGAAGGACATTAAGACTGGAGATAAAGGAACCAGTTAGGAAGCTAGCGCAGTACTCCAGGGGAGAGAGAATAATGGCATGAGCCAAGGAGTACCATGTAGAGAGAGAAAAATCCATGATTTAAGATATATTTTGAAGTTTGTAGATGCTCATAAACATTTATTAAAATAAACAGTATTATTTTAGAAAAAAGTGTCATTTAAAAATTCAATTTGCATTTAAATAGTTAATGTTGCTGAAGGCTATGGAGATAGTCCCTTAATTTTAAATGATGTTTATTATTTTCTAGGTTGGCAAAGTATACCTTATAATTAATTCATTATTTTTCCACCAACAAAGGGAATATTGCATAGGATTTTCTATAACACCTAGCATATTGCCTTTTGGCCATGAAAAAGATTTTCATACTTCTTTATAGGCAATTTTAATGAGTTTAAACTTATTACAAAACATAGACATTTCCATATTGCTTATTCACATTTCCCAAATATGACTGACTTTGCCGGAAGAAAAATACCAATATGTATATATCTTTAAACAGATATGCTGTTGAACATTTCTACTATTAGATTATGACTGAATTATTTAAGCTAATTAATTCTATGCTAAAAACCTTGAATGAAACTTACATACTACTTAGGCGAACATACCATCATTCACCAAAAATACATGTTATTTTGTTTGGTTTTCCTCCTTTGAACAATCAAGGTCATTTCCCCATTGAAATGCATGATCATTTTTTGTTTGTTTGTTTCTGTGTTTTGAAAACTCGATACTTGTTTCAGACTCTATGCAATTGGTATAAGAGAGTGATAAAATGTGGTAAAGTTACTCTCTTAGTTTTCTACGGATGCTATGACAAAGTACCATCAACAATGAGATTTAAGGAAACGGAAACTAGTGTCCTGGGTGATTTAAAACTCAGACATGTATTGCTTCACAGTTCTGGACGTCAGAAGTTCGAAGTCCAGGCAGGGCCATGCTCCCGCTGAGAGAATCCTTTCTTGTCTCTTCCTAACTTCCGGTGGTTTCCCTGCAACCTCGGTGTGCCTAGGCTTGTAGCTGCCCCATTCCAGTCCTCTGCCCTCACGTGGTCTCTCCCTGTCTCTCTCTCTGTCTCTTCATTGGATGCTTCTTTTAGAAGGACACCAATCATATTAAATTACAGGTTCACTCTACCCCAGTATTACCTCATCTTAACTAATTTAATCTGCAACAATCTATTTCCAAATAAAGCCTAAGGCACTGAGGGTTAGGGTTTCAGTATATCTTTTTCGGGGGGGGGGGGCGGACATAATTAAACCCATAGCAGTTACCAAAACTGATGAATGTAAAATGATCTGCCACTAGGGAATTACCCACCAGTCACTCTCTCCGTTTCCTTTATACGTTTTCTACGTTACTACATTACATGTAGACGGATACCAAGAGCTCATGTGTGTGTGTGTGTGCGCGCTCACTTCTATAGATGTGGATTAGACTCCATCACTGATAACCCATGGAGTCATGGAGAACCATGCAAATTGTGTTTTACATTTCCATGTGTAGGTCATTTTTTACTGAGGCATGCATAGGCATTGGCAAAATTTTCTTAGAGTGAGCTGTGCATTTTGTTCATAATATCAGCACTATTTTTCATTCCCTTTCTCTCTAGTGTGATTAATTTAGGCAAAATAAAATTGAATTCTGATGGATGGCTTTTATTTATACAACCCATAAGATGGGTTACCAAATACCAGAGTGCTTGACAATTTGGTTTAGGGTGGATTTCAACTGCTGCCTCCTTACACTTGGGAATATGCATCATTTGTAGTGATTTTCACTACTCTTGACAGGTGATCTGAATAATCCAGTTGCTCTGGTTCTGAATTTCCTCAGTAACCTGATTTGTTTCTACTCAGTTCTCTGGTCGTTTGGCAATATTTGATCCATGCTTAATGTACATCCACTGGACACCAAGCACAAGGAAACAGAGGTGAACTTTAATCCTCACACTCAAAGATCTCTCTTTAAATAACTAAATGAAAGGCTATTTTTCTTGGCTACTTTTCTTAATAGCTTGCACATTGGACTATGGTGTATCAAATATAAAAATGAGTTCAACAGACAAAGGAGATGAATAAATATATCAGGGGTATGTTAAGGTTATTCATGGTTCTGCGTTTGTGATTCATATTTGTTTTTATATATTTTTATTTCAGCTGAAAGAGACATCAGTGTGTATTGCGGGGTGCAGGCCATTACGATGAAGATTAATTTCTGCACTGTACTTTTCTCGGGTTATTCGGAAACAGATCTGGCACTGAATGGAAGGCACGGGGACTCCCACTGCAGAGGGTTCATCAATAACAACACCTTTCCGGCCGTGGTCATTTTTATCATCAATCTCAGCACCTTGGAGGGCTGTGGAAACAACTTGGTGGTAAGATTAGTGTGAAATTCTGTGCTAGGTCTGGGGTCATAAATAAAAAATCTCCCCATTTCATAAAAGAATAAGACGTCCAATCTCTCTCTTAAGAAAAAAAAAATACAATGAAATTGAACAAATAACTTTCCTTTGCCTGCTTGAGGCATGCACTCCTGAATACAGAATTCTATCTTCCAATAATGGTTCTGTTTATAGTAGTGGGGCAGTCAAGGGGCCTGAGGTCAGCTGTGCTCCTCTAAGCAGCATGATTTTGTGTGAGTGATGTTGATGGATCTGCCTTTACAGTATAGCATTAGCCATATTCCTCATGCTTTATAAGCAAGTATCTGACCATTCAGTGTTTGTTCCAGTGAGTCTGGCAGTGAGCCACTTGGCTTGCGGCGTTAGTGACCTCATTTAGAAAGAAAGATGAAAGATAGAATGGGAAGCTTGTAATCTTCTTTCATGCTTACCATTGAATGATCAACACGAGTGCTTTGTAACAAGGGGCTGTCAGTATTTCTGGTACAATATTCTTAAATATGTGGGACTGTCTTTTGACTTTCAAAATGTTTATCATATCCAGTCTTACCATGAAATCCCAGTAGCACACTATCTCTAATCATTGTGAAAATGGAAACATCTCTTTAAACATTTCCACCCTGAATTAGAAATACTAGTTTGTACCATTCATTTGTTTATGAATACGTTGAACACCAAAAATAGACTTGAATACGGAATTGAGTTTCCAGTGAACTAAAATTAATTGAAGTGAGTATATTGTGATTTGAAGGGAGTATTAGTTAGTTACACCGAAATTCATTTACTATTTTTTATTTTGCTTATTTAAATATAATCGTATTGGTAAATTAGCAAATATGAAAAAGGAAATGCAGTAAACATGATCACTTAGCCCAGGGAAGGAGATACTGACTTTTTTCTTTACAAGTTATTATTTTGTATTAAAGAGAAAGGATTGATTGTTCCAAGGCCAGGGTTTCTAAGACTTGGTGGGAGATGGAAGACAGAGAAAATAGATTTCTTTGAATCTTCTTCTTTATCTTTTCCCAGAGGGCTTTTAGAATATTGTGCCCATGACCGTTTCCAAACCTGCAGCTTGAGTATTGTTGACTCTTTTTATTAAAAATGTTTATTCAACTCTGTGAGTTGTGTGCAGAGAGGTTATGAAGTGTGCCTAAGGGAAAGTAATGCAGGTTGATTATTACAAGTCCCTGTTCTGTGTGGAGGGAAAGAGCCTATGTGGAGATGAGCAGCATTTCCACATCTCCCACCATGCCCTGAAGCCTTTCCTTCACTTTCTTGTCTGAATGCATCATCTTACCCTGCTGCCTAGAAAATGATTCAGGAGAAAAGCCAGGAAAGGTGTGCAGTGCATGTGCTGTTTACCTGGTTAAAAAGCTGAGTAAGTCTGCTATAAAAATTGCTAGGCAGGGCGTCGTGGCTCATGCCTGTAATCCCAGCACTTTTGGGGGCCAAGGCGGGCCAATCACCTGAAGTCAGGTGTTCGAGACCAGCCTGGCTAACATGATGAAACCCTGTGTCTACTAAAAATACAAAAATTAGCCAGGCGTGGTGGCATGTGCCTGTAATCCCAGCTACTTGGGAGGCTGAGGAAGAAAAATAACTTGAACTTGGGAGGCGGAAGTTGCAGTGAGCTGAGATCATACCACTGCACTCCAGCCAGGGTGACAGAGTGAGACTTTGTCTCAGACAAAAAAAAAAAAAAAATTTCTATATGTATGTACGTGTGTATTTTTTTTTTCACAGACAGAATTTCTTTGTTTAGCTATTGAATCAAGCGAGTACTGGGAGGAGGGGAAGATTTGCTTATCTTTCATTTTTTGCCTTAGATGCTACCGGCCTTGGCAACTGCTCTAAGAGCGTTTCTGCATGGGAAAAAATTAAGTAGGCTACTAAGTTATTGGACTGGAATCAAGATGTTTTCATTCGTAAAGATTCTTGTCCCATTTATAAATTAACTAGGTGATTGCCACAGCTTTACCCATGTGCTGTTAGATTCATGCATTAAGTTTACTCTGTTGTTGAAAATCACAGATCTAAGTAATACAGTAGTGTCTGCTAAAATATTTACTGAGTGCCCTCTTGTATTTGACAAGGTAGAAGAAGTTAGAAGAACTCTCTGGTATTATGAAGGTCAAATAATTATTGATTATTCCTAAAATGGTGGATCTAAAATTTTAGTAAGACTGGAGAATTCAGTGAAAGATAAGCAGACCCAAGGAAATATACAGGGACAACATTTTTACATAACTTCTGGAAGTTCATGAACCCCCAAATCCATCTATAAACTATTATCCTAGAAGTTGATAAGCATCTTTATGAACCAGAGAGAAAGACCCTGAGAAGATCAATCCTCAGGAAATGTATGACCTTCATTTATTTGTTCAAAAATCATTTTGGGGGCCCAAGATGCTGGTAACCGTGATATGCTGAGTTTGCAAAGGTGGACAAAATGGTCCTTGCCCACAAAGAGCATCGATGATGGCTAAGGGAACTGCCCAGAGAGCAGGCTGCTTTTGCTCTGCCTACTAATATCATAGAGATAAACACTGCATGTGGGAAGTCAGGGGAAATTCCTAGGGAAGGTGAGATCCTGAGGAGGAGTAGGATAAGTTATGGGAAAGTGGGGAGAGTGACAGCATTATTGTCAAAAGTTGGAGCCTGGAGATACGAAGCTAATAGGTAAAAAGGATCACATTAACAGGGGTTTTTGGTTTTTTTTTTCAGCCATTCCAGAGAATTTTGCTGTCATCCTTAAGTGTTTTCAGATTACTTATTGTAACCCTCTGAACCTATAATCTATCTTCTTTCTCTTTTATAAAGTATAAGTAAAATGTCTTTGGTAAATATGAAGTTTCATTTATACATGTCACTTATAAATTGCATTTGGATTGTATGATTTCAAAACCTTCTCATTTTACAGTTGAACTAGACCCTAGAATTGATCTTGTTTAATGTTTTATTTTGCATATGAAGTGCCTGGATGTATATATAGCCATTTAATCATTAAACTACATCTACCATTCTAACAGGTATCCACAATTTCTGGAGTCAGTGCTTATGGAAATGCGACTTCAGTACAAATAGGAAATATTTCAGGATACATTGATACTCCAGACCCACCAACAATCATCAGCTATCTACCTGGGCTTCTTTACAAATTTAGTTGTAGTTATCCATTGGAATACCTGGTTAATAATACCCAGCTTGCTTCGTAAGTTTGCATTTTATTCCTGCTTTTTCATATTGAATTTTTGCTTCAGTCATTTCATATCTTTCAGGGACTTAGAAAGGTAGCAGGATTTATTGAAAATAGTTAAATTGAAATAATGTAATGGGAAGCATATTAGGTGATATATATATATATATATATGAATGATGATCCATAAGAGACCCAAACCATGTTTTCCCCCAAATTAAGCTAATTCAGACTAGCCAGTTGTCTGTCTTGGGTTCTCTTCACTCCCTTTGCCCAAGAGCTTTGAGAGCTTTTGCTGCCCTGAAGGTCCTGTAGCGTCCCCAGTGTGTTGGCATTTGGTAACTACATTGCTGAGTTTTGCTCGGCTTCCCTCTCTGCCATATACTTTCACTGCTGGGCTCCGCTGCCCCAGATCCTGGGATCTCCATTCCTCTGTTGAGCTGTCAGCTGGATGGGTGCTGATGATTCTCCCAGAACCATTGCATGGCCGATGGACATGTAGCTCCAAATATGGACTGAGGGTGTAGCCTTTTGCTTATGTCCATGTATTCATTTTTCCCAAAGCACATACTTCCAGGAGAGGGCTATGTCCACATTACAATATAATCACCTGAATTTGTTGAATATTTTTGACAAAATGGGATGATTAAGTGAATGTTTTATCCAATTTTAGGGTTTGCTACTATTAAGTCTTAGTTATTGCTTAATCTTAGTTATGAGGAAATGTGGAGGCTACATTGTACTTCAGTGAAAAAATATTCATAGCTGGTTTTAATAGTACAGTGATGACAAAGACCTTGGTCAGAAGCAAGGCTTTGATGTGGAAAATGAGAAAGGAAAGGCCTTGAGTCAAAACAATATGGGTATACAGGGAAACATCTCTTACTCTGCCCCCCACTCCCCACATTGAACACATTCCTGAGCTCTGTTCAGATCCATGGAAATTCATTGATTATTCAATTTCTCACTCACCTACTATTTACCATGCAATGTTCCAGCAATGAACAAAGTAAAAGAAATTCTCTGATCTCATGAAACTTCTATTCTAATGAAATGGATGAAAGTGTATTTGTACCAAGTTCAAGCCTTTATCTGCCAAATGTCTAAGAGTAATGCAAAACAAAAAAGATTACTTTAAAAATAAAATGATCATAAATCACAGCTTGTCTTTACTTGTTCCCTCTTGCTTTTTATTATTTTATCTGTTCAGAGATTTAAGCAGTATAGCAACTCCAAGCATAATTAACAGTATGTCAGAATTATTCAGGAGTTTTAGTGCTTTAAATGTAACATCTAGATATCACTTTTATTTTAATAACTGAGGAGTGCCTTCCTTTTTCTAAATGTGTTTTAGGTCCTCAGCTGCTATTTCTGTGAGAGAGAACAATGGCACCTTTGTCAGCACTTTGAACCTACTCCTTTATAATGTAAGTTGATGGGTGAAGGATGTTATTTTCTCTTTCACTGTTGTGAGAAGTCATTTATGTGAATGGCTTTTATATAAAAATCTCCTGAAAGCCACATTAACCCTGTTATAGCTTGGTAACATTTATCTATTTTTGCTACCATTCTCATATATCTTAGTGATAAAGGTGTAATAACATCTCCATTAAATTTTCTTAAAGTTGATAAGTGATTTAAATTTTATTTCAAAAATGTGATTTTAAATAATAACTTCAAATGTCTATCTACATTTATGTATTTATTTGTTTATTTAGGTAGGGGTGTGTGAGTAGCTACAGTTAGCTTCAAGATTTGGGAAATAATTTTTTTATGTGTGATACAAAGATTTTAACAGTACAAATGCTGTTTCCCTTGGAGGCATTCTTGGTGATGAATGTGTTAATATTTTTGCTATGGGTTTTGGCTGATGACAATTCTGTCACATCTGAAATAATTTGGATTGATACATAGCATTGTCGAAATTTTTGTCATGTAAACATTGACAGTGGCAGCAAAACGTGAAAAATACATGGATTTCTATTTATAACTGTAACATTAATCCCCCAAATGATATTTTCATGTTGATTAAAAATTTTTATTCATACATTTTAAATGCCTGATTTAAATATCAATTTTTCAATCTATCAACCAACATTTTTGTAAATTATGAATCTGATTTTTGCATTATTATTCATGCCATCATGGCACTGAGTTATAATTCATGCAACTGATTTAAAAGTCAGTGCTTTATACTTTGAATATAATGAGCTATAAATATTGTAGTAGGACATTTTCCAAAGGCATTAAAAAAAAATCATGTTTATAAGTTTGTAGTCTGACACCACAGAGTTCTAAACAACAAATTAAAATGTGTTAGAATCAAGATTGCCTTTCTGTCGTTTCTAAACTTTCTTCTGCAAAGAAAAGCTGCCAAGATACTTGGTTCTATAATACTCAGCAAATGTGCACCAATATCTATTTCTGATATGGCCAGATATCTACTATTGTTGTTAAGAATATTTATAGAACTTTAAACTGGAAAATTTCTGTTAATTTCCATGCATAAGCTCTCTGAGGTAGAGTTGAGATTACTAGTTGGATTTAATGTTATTTATTATAATTGAGTGAGTCAAAGATGAGAATTCCCGATTCTGAAAAAGAAAAACATATATCCATATAACATTTAATGATACTATTATTTTCTGTGAAATTAAACTACTCTCTCATTGAAGTAGCAGAAAATCAAAATTTAGAAGTGTGGATTTCAGGAAAGCTTTGTTATTAAGGTCTTTTTTTTTATTATTAGAGATGGTATTGTAGCCTGTTGCTAAGAAAGTATGAACCTTCAAAGAATCTCTGAAATTTGAAGGCTTAAGAATGCCTATAATTTGATGATAACCTTAATATTTTAATTATACAGTAACCAACTTTTTGATATTAGACTACAAGTGAAATTGCTGTTGCCCAAATTCTTCTCATTTTAAATCAGCTGTAGAGCAGTTTTAGTTTGACAGAAAAGTTGGTGGGAAAATAGAGATCCTTCCCACACATAACCACCACCCTTGGACACATTTTTTTTCTCTTATGTACATCTCGTATTAGTGTAATACATTTGTTAGAACTGATAAGCCAATATTGATACGTTATTAACCAAAGTCCATAGTTGACATTTCTTTCATGTTCAGGCTACGCTTCCTCTTGTACCTGCTGTGGGTTTTGACCAATATAAATGGCATTTGTTCCTCTTTTCTGTGTAATGCGGAAGAGTTTCAAGGCCTCAAGCAAAACTTTTTAAACGCAGTGTCCTCATAGTATTTTCCATGTTATAGGATATTTCAAAATTAGTAATTTTCACGAGAAAAAAATTTGGGTATACTTTCATTAGTTGATCCAAAATCAGATTTATCATTTGTTTGGAATATTAACATGTAGCTAACCAGATGTAATTTTTATTGTAGTATTCCAAATAAAATATTATAATCTTTAGAAGCCATTAATTCCTATTTCACACACAAAGTTTTAATTTCTAACCCTTGAGGATAATGAAAACTTATATTACATCCTTACTGCTTTCATTTTCTGATTTGTTATTTGGAGAGGAAAAGTTGTGCCCAATTCAATGTAGCACCATAGTGTATTTTATATGTTCTGGGATTTATGTATAAGTATCTGAGGGTAAATTATATCTAGAAAACCAATAACTTCTATCAACTATGTGATTTTTCATTGCAAACTACTAGTTGAACTGTGGCTTTATTTGGTGTGATATAAATACGTCAGTTTTGTTCATTGTAGAAATGGAAAGTAAGGATGCCTTTGTGTCTTGGAATTCTACCTACGTGTTAGATTCTTCTAAGACAGTGGACGATCAGCAAATTTTAGATAAGGTTATTATAATCGTGAACATTTTTTAACTATTGTAGAAAAATTAAAATGGTTATAATTGATTTTAGGGACAATACATTACTGAGTAAAAGCCACCATGCAAATTGAAGTTGAAAAATTAACTCTTAGAAAAAATTTCAGTAGGAAAAAAATGATGATTCATAATTAAACCACAGCTGGATCATATGCCACTTGCAAAATGACTCAGCAGTATAGTATTGTAAAGAAAGTAAGCATACTTCTGGTCAATATTGATGCAAATATAAGATGAAAGGGCTGCATGGTTAAGGAAGTGTAGATTACTTAGAGAAGCTGGAAAAGGGAGCTTGAAAGATAATTGCATAAAAACATTCCCTATCAGACATGGTTAGAGGAGCCATTCTCATCTATCACCAAAATGTAGAAACCAAAAGACTGAAGAGGATCACTTTTTAAGTATAACATATCTCTTATTTATTTGGCTTTATTTGGGAATAAAATGTTCCAAATTCACATTTTTTTTTTAAAGTAAAACATCCAAACTATTACCGTTTTAAATTATAAAATTTAAAATACATTGCTTTCTTCCAAGCCTTTTAAAGAGTATGGTTGATATGTTGTCTTTCCTGATGACTTTAAGATTTTGTAAGGAACATTAAAAGCTCTTCTTTGCTGCCAAGCAGTGACGTCTTCTGAATTACTAAGTTTAGAGAAACAATTGGCCTCTGTGTTAAAGGATGTGACTGCTTCACCTTGGAGGGCTTTTCTGGTTTTATTTTGCACTTTATTTTTTCTGGTTTTCTTCATTATCAAATTATACCTGCCACTTCTTAATTTCTAAATTTGATGCTTTAATCTAGTGTGGATTTGAGAATGATACAAATAGCTCTCTAGAATTGGTCTAAAATAAGGGTCAAAAAGTATAAATGAAGTCCTGAGATACCCTTTTATAAGAAACCCCTAAGGAATTTGTGCAGGAACTATATGGCATGTATTTTAGCAGCTTGGAGAGTGTGTTTGTCTCAAAAGCTGACTCTTGCCCTATAAAAAATATAATGTGCATATACCTCATTTTGGTTTCCTGTGTATTATTATTTAGTTTGTACCTTGAAGATATTGTTAAATTCTAGAAATTTGGTTCTTCTGTACTTTCTCCTATTATGCCTAGAAGAAAATTTCTGTTCTTGTATGACTTTAAAATTGTCTTACTTTGGTTTTCAATTAAATTTTAACAATTTCAAATTGCCAGGTAAGTGATTTTGGGGAAATAAAATATTAGCAGAAGTGTAAGACCTACAACGCCAGCAGCAAAGGCCTTAAATGGAAGCAGATGTAACTTAATTAAACTGAATATTAGCCTCTAGTATAATTCAAATAAATGGAATATTAATTTAAGTAAACTAAATATTGACCATTGAATATTAACCAAACTGAATATTAACCAATGACCACTGGTTAAATTTAGATGCAATAACCAATGACCACTGAATATAGTGTAGATACACTGAACATTAGCCACCATATATGATAAACTATGAAATAAAAGATTTAAACATGGAATCAGTTTGTTACATGGATATGGCTTAGTAACAGTTCTGCCAAGAAACCAGAGGGTTACGTAAACCCTTTTTGGATTGGTACTGTAGATTCATGTTTGTTTCTTTTCTCTTTTATTTTCTAACATTGTTGTTTTAAGTGGTAAGTGTGCTGTTGTTGGGAAAGTAATGATAGATTGTTTGTTTTTTCATCATTAGGATTCAACCTACAACCAGCAGTTAATTATCCCCAGTATAGGATTACCTTTGAAAACCAAAGTATTTGCAGCTGTACAAGCCACTAATCTGGATGGCAGGTATTTTCAAACTGTTATCTTTTTTAGGTTAAAACACTTTCACTACCTAACCACTCGTGAGTCATAAAGTTAGCCCGTTGATTTTTAAGCTCCGTTTGAAAAATATTGTCATTACCACAGCATTTAGGCATGCCACTAAAAAGAAACACAAATGACAAAGTTTAAGAGGTGACACTCATGTTCTGTCATTACTTGGAAAATAACAAATCTTCCCATAAAGAAGGGGAGTGGTTCCTGGAAGGGGGCCTGGGGAGATCTGGGATGCCAGAATGTTCTATTTCTTCATCAGAAGGATGATTAACCAGATATAGTCATTTTTGTGAACGCTTGATTTGTTTGCTTTTCCATATGTACGTTACTCTTCAATATAAATTTATTAAAGAATGAAAGGACTCTTCACATAAGAGTCTGTGTCAAAATTACATAAAATGGTCCCAGTATTATCTCTGTTAAAAAAAACTATTAAATTTTAGATGATACTTAAGAAAATTCACAGCAGTCAAACTGAAAAGGAACTCAAAAGCTGAAGATCTAATCCTGCCCTACAAAAAATGTAATGTGAAATGGCTTATTTTGGGTTGCTCATGTATTATTATTTAAACTTTGCATCCTGAAGAGATTGGTATACTCTAGAAATTTAGTTCATCTTTACCTTCCCTCTTCCTGTCCAGAAGAATACTTCTATTCTTGTATGAGTCTTTAAAACTGTCAATTAGCAATGCAGAATTTTTTCCATTTTATTGGCATTCACTTCCTATGGATTAGTATTTTTTTTAAATAACATCAGAGTTGGAATGAACTAATGTATAAATGTGAGCAAAATCTACCCTTCTGGGGAAAGGTTGTGGATGTGGATGTGCCTCATGGCTTTCTCCTCCCTAACACAGTATCTACTGCGGACTCCATAATCGCCAAACCACTGATCTGGTATACAATTTATGCTCTAAGCTCTCTTGCTGTATTTGGTATGATAACATCCTCTGATTCCATGAGGGACGGTAACGTCTAGAAAGTAAAGGCTATTGTTTATCATGAACACATAAGCAGCTATTAGCTCATTTTAAGGTTTGCTGCTCAGACTTTGACCACTCAGTTGTCTTGTACACAATTTTTTTATGACATTAGCCTTGACTCCCCTTAATGTGAAATTGACAATTTGGTGTGGATTTTTAAACACTTTGAGTTCAGGAGAAAGTTATTACTTTAAAAAAATTTTTTTATGGGTACATAGTAGTGTAATTGTTTATGTGGTACTTGGGATGTTTGATACAGGCATGCATGTGAAATAAGCAGGATGGGGTAGAGAAAGTTTTAATAAACAAGAAACCTCTGCAAATAACAAGTAATTAACAGTTATATTCCATGGGATAAGAAGTTTGTCGATATTTACTTCCCTTGTATTAGTAACTAATCCCCAATTCTGACTCTAGATAATATTTGCTTACATTCTTTCAGATGGAATGTTTTAATGGATTATTGCTACACAACCCCATCAGGAAACCCAAATGATGACATTCGATATGACCTCTTCCTTAGGTAAGACTTAGCTGTCTCAGTATTGTATTGATACCAAAGACCCAGTTGTATGTAGTTGAAATGGAAAATCTAAGTCAGGTAAATTATAAAGCACTATTATAGCTTATAAATTTCAAGTTTTACATTTTGAACTTTGAGTCCTTACAAAACGGAAAGTATAAAAGTTGAGAGTAGTTTTCAACACAAAATGCTGATAAGGCTATTGCTGTATCAGAGTTGTAAGTTCGGTCCACCAAAGATGTTTTATTCATGTTTAGGAGATATGGGAATATTTCACTGTCTTAGGAAAATCATGGTTAGGATATTATTCTCAAGAAAAGAAAGGCAATAGAGGTTACTATTTATCTGCAGCTAGACTATCTCATATGTCAAAAGGAGAGTAAAATTAAAGCAATGATCTGGATAATTTAAACCCCAAAATACTTTTGTTCATTTATCAGTATTTAGTATAAAACTGTAATATAACCTACCAGTCCTTCTTTTATTAGAGACAATAACTTCAACCTCGTTCCCCAATAGACAGTGATAGAGTGAATGTAATCTACATTTTGGGAAAGGGGACATTGATCATAAAACCATTCAATCATCCAGGTTCCTTTTCAGCATTTTTATCTGACAGCAGAACAGACTTGAGAGTCAAGCAATGTCTTCTAATCATGCTTATAAAATGCAGTTGGCTCAGATCACTGCAGCTTATTGACACATGATGGAAGTAATATAATGGGAAACCAAAAGAATATGCTTTATTGGCTGATTAAGGGCAAGACGATGTACAGAGGGTATGGTCAACTGTTACTCTTACATATCCTATTTCTGGAAATGTTACTTTGGGCAACATTTTTTGGGGAAAAAAATGTCAGTATGTATCAAAAGCCTTAAAAGTTTCATATTCTTTGATTCCAGCTTTACAAATTGTGAAGTATATTTAAAAATATTTATGATGTTCTGGTCTGTCAGTGATATTTAAAGTAGTGAAACATGGGAACAAATTGTATATTCAGCAATAAGGAAAGAGCTAGGTGAATTATGGACAACCAGTAAGTTGAGAGTCCCTATGGGTACTACCTTCATATAAAGTTGTATATTAGATAGAAAAAATGGTTGCCTTTCTCTTACCTTCTTCCTTTTTGCCTTGTTGGTATTTCTATCTTTGAAAATATGTGATTATTTAACATTTAAAGGCATTAAAATATCAAGGAAAAGGATCATCATATATAATTGTATGTATAACTTTAAAACTTTGGAGTAGGGAAACTGTCTTCTGTTCAAATACTAGAAACCACAAAATAACATGTTGAAAGTTTCATTATATAATAATAAAACTGTACACACACACACACACACACACACACACACACACACACTGTCCAAAGCCAAATAACAAATTAACACAATTTACAACTTATACAACAAACCAGTAAGTACTTTTCGTTTTTTTTTTTGCACTGAACTATGGACTATATTTTATTAATATTTATGTAAAAGTAAAATCTTATTGTTTTAATAATAGTTTTATTATTATTAAACTAATTTTGTTTTATTAAACAAAATTTAATAATATTTTGCTTTAAGTTCTGGGTTACATGTGCAGATCTTGTGGGATTGTTACATAGGTATACACATGCCATGGGGGTTTGCTGCCTCCATCCTCCCATCACCTATATTACGTATTTCTCCTAATGTTATCCCTCCCCTGGCCCTGCAACCCCCAACAGATCCCAGTGTGTGATGCTCCCCTTCTGGTGTCCATGTGTTCTCATTGTTCCATACCCACCATTGAGTGAGAACATGCAGTCTTTGGTTTTCTGTTCTGGTGTCAGTTTGCCGAGAATGATGGTTTCCAGATTCATCCATGTCTCTGCAAAGGACATGAACTCATCTTTTTTTATGGCTACACAGTATTCCATGGTGTAGGTGTGCCACATTTTCTTTATCCAGTCTATCATTGATGGGCATTTGGGTTGGTTCCAAGTCTTTGCTATTGTAAACAGTGCTGCAGTGAACATACAGGTGCATGTGTCTTCATAATAGAACAATTTATAATCCTTTGGACATATAACCAGTAATGGGCTTGCTGGGTCAAATGGAATTTCTATTTCTAGATCCTTAAGGAATCACCACACTGTCTTCCACAATGGTTGAACTAATTTACACTCCAACCAACAGTGTAAAAGTCTTCCTATTTCTCCACATCCTCTCCAGTGTCTGTTGTCTCTTGATTTTTTAATGATCATCATTCTAACTGACGTGAGATGCTATCTCAATGTGGTTTTGATTTGCATTTCTCTAATGACCAGTGATGATGAACAATTTTTCCTATGTTTGTTGGCCACATAAATGTCTTCTTTTGAAAGTGTCTGTTCATACCTTTCACCAACTTTTTGATGGGGTTGTTTGTTTTTATCTTGTGTATTTGTTTTAGTTCTTTGTAGATTCTGGATATTAGCCCTTTGTCAGATGGGTAGATTGCAAATTTTTTTTCCCATTCTCTTGGTTGCTGGCTTGCTATAATGATTGTTTCTTTTGTTCAGAAGCTCTTAAGTTTTATTAGATCCCATTTGTCTATTTTGGTTTTTGTTGCCATTGCTTTTGGTGTTTTAGTCATGAAGCTCTTGCCTATGCCTATGTCCTGAATGGTTTTGCCTAGGTTTTCTTCTAGGGCTTTTATGGTTTTAGGTCCTATGTCCTGAATGGTTTTGCCTAGGTTTTCTTCTAGGGTTTTTATGGTTTTAGGTCTTATGATTAAATCTTTAACCAATCTGGAGGTAATTCTTGTGTAAGGTGAAAGGAAAGGGTCCAGTTTCAGCTTTCTGCACATGGCTAGCCAGTTTTCCCAACACCATTTATTAAACAGGGAATCCTTTCCCCATTGCTTGTTTTTGTGTGGTTTGTCAAAGATCACATGGTTGTAGATGTGTGGCATTACTTCCAAGCCTCTGTTCTCTTCCGTTGGTCTATTCTCTGTTTTGGTACCAGTACCATGCTGTTTTGATTACTTGTAGTATCATTTGAAGTCAGGTAGTGTGATGCCTCCAGCTTTGTTGTTTTTGCTTAGGATTGACTTGGCTATGTGGGCTCTGTTTTGGTTCCATATGAAGTTTAAGGTGGTTTTTTCCAGTCCTGTGAAGAAGGTCGATGATAGTTTGATGGGGATAGCATTAAATCTATAAATTACTTTGGGCTGTATGGCCATATTCACGATATTGATTCTTCCTAACCATGAGCATGGAATGTTTTTCCATCTGTTTGTGTCCTCTCTTACTTCCTTGAGCAGAACCACCCTTCTTAATACATAAAAGAATTTAGAAGAATAATAAAGAAAAAGGCCAACAACACAACAGAATTTGGGCAAGGACATAAACCATTTTCAGATAGAGAAATACAAATGACTCTAAGTTATGTGAAAAGATACTGAAACTCATTAATTATAAGACAAATATAAATTAAAATTATAGGATGATAGTTCATTTTACTCTCAAATAGGGAGTAATAAAAACTTTTATCCATACACTTTGCTGATGTAGCTCTGGAGAAATAAGTGTTGTTTTAGTGTATTTCTTGTGAAGTCCAAAATGGAACACCATTTATAAAGGGCACATGGACACAGAAAGGGGAGTACTAAACACTGGGGTCTATTGGGGGGAAAAGGGGAGGGCCAGTGGGAGGGGTGGTGGGGAGGGATAGCCTGGGGAGAAATGCCAAATGTGGGTGAAGGGGAGAAGGAAAGAAAAGCACACTGCTATGTGTGTTCCTATGCAACTGTCTTGCATGCTCTGCTCATGTACCCCAAAACCTATAATCCAATAAAAAATTAAAAAAAAAAAAATAAAGGGCAATTTGGCAATACCTATTAAATGATTCTAGAGATATATTTTGTAGATAATCCTGTACATGTTTAACATGATATATTTCAAGGGTTTTCATTATTACTTTGCTTTTAAAAAGCAAAAGAGTCAAAAAATGCATGTACATGAATAGGAAACGGATTAAATAAACTCTGAAACATGTCCACGATGAAATACTATACAGCTGTGGAAAAAGAATGATGAAGCTTTCTAAATATTGATACAGGTAGATCTCTAAGGTAGACTGCTAAATATTTAAAAGGCAAGGTATAAAACAGTGTAGACAATATGTTATAATTTGTTTAAGGAGGGAGGACAATAAGAATACATTGCTTCTGTTTCTATTTTCATATATCCTAAGAATGATGTGAAAATAAATGAAAATAGATGTGAATGAAAATAGATGTGAAAATAAGATCACTGCTGGCAGTTTCTATGAATTTAAATTACTTGGAGTTTTGAACTATATGAAAGTATAATTCTACACACTGTTATTGCAATCAGAAACTGATCTGTTTAAATTTTATGATCCAGGTTATTTTTATCATCTCTGTTGAATTGGCTTATGCTCTTATTAAATATCTGTAACATGGCATGGTTCTGTTAGCTCTTAATATAATGGCAGATCCTTAACACTGTAGAAATTAACTTACAAGTCCCAGTAGGTTCGTACTTTCCAGTGATGTCCTGTTTGCACATCCCCTAAAATTTAGCTGTGACAAAGATCCTCAGACCACCGTCATTGAGAATGGCCGAAGCCAGCGGGGCCGGTTTTCATTTGAAGTGTTCCGATTTGTGAAACACAAGAATCAGAAAATGTCCACTGTGTTCCTGCACTGTGTTACCAAGCTCTGCAGAGCGGATGACTGCCCCTTCCTTATGCCGGTATGTTTTTAAGGAACTTTATTCTAAGTTGTTGAATTGATCCGAGTTGAACTGTTATCAAATGTCAGAAACTAATTTCTGCATAGAAAGTGGATATGTGTTAGGTCAAATAGTTTGACATAGGATTTATTCATTTGTCTAGTAAAGCTCTACTAAATATCCTACTTTGTGCCAAGCGTTATCCTGAGGATAAGAGCTGAGGTATGCGCAAATTCTGAATTTAATTATATTATCCTTTAGGATCATGAGATAGTCACAGAAGAAAGCAAGATAAAAATCTTATCATGCAAAGGAGACAAATATATGGGTTGTAGTAAGATGTAGTATTCACAATTGTGAGAGAGAAGAAACAGAATAGGTTGAGAGAATTGGTAGGGGAGATGAACTTCAGCTGTTACTCTGAAGATAGCTGAACCCCAAAGAACCAAAATCAAGAGTGTGAGAGACATTGCTGACCAAATGATGGTCAAAGACACAGACATACAAATTAGTGTGATCAGAGAGCTTCTAGTTCTTCAGCAGGGTTTTAGAGCAGAGTAGAGATGATTGGAAAACCTGGGGAGGGAGAGGACTGGGTTGGTGCTAGAAAGGTAGATTGGGGCTGGATGGTCAGAAAATCACTTAGATTAAAAGTTAAAAGTGGCTGGGCACGGTGGCTTACGCCTGTAATCCCAGCACTTTGGGAGGCCGAGGCGGGCAAATCATGTGATCAAGAGATCGAGACCATCCTGGCCAACATGGTGAAACCCCGTCTCTACTAAAAATACAAAAAAATTATCTGGGCATGGTGGTGCATGCCTATAGTCTCAGCTACTCAGGAGGCTGAGGCAGGAGAATTGCTTGAACCCGGGAGGTGGAGGTTGCAGTGAGCCGAGGTCACACCACTGCACTCCAGCCTGGTGCCTGGTGACGGAGTGAGACTCTGTCTCAAAAAGAAAAGAAAAAAAAAAAAAGTTTAAAGCAATGAAAGGTGTGTATCTGAATTGCATGCAGCCACCATTAAAATAAAGATCTATTTAGTATGAATAAAAAAAATTCTATTCTGACCAGCTGTCTAGGGTCACATCATTAACCTGATAAAAATGCAGGCCCTTTTGAAATTTGAAATACCGTTAATATGTTTATATTTATGTTCAATTTATGCATAATTAGGAAGCCGTTTCTTCATGCTCATTGATCCCTTTGGACTAATAAGCTGTGTCAGATGGGGGTAAATGGTGAGTCCACATTACCTTGAGTCCATGCTGACCAGCATTTCCAGGAAGGATTTATTAAAGGCTTGAGAGAAATAAAAGGAGAAAAGTTTGATAAACACAGCACTTTTTCAAGAGAGCCATTGAGCTATGTAAATTTATGAGGCAGAGCACAATTACAGCAGGAGGAAATAAGAAATGTGCCCATGCCAAGGTAACAAACACTGTAGCGGTTACATGCAATGTAATTAAATAAATTCATGGAAGGAAATGAATAAAATTAAACATGTGGTATCTCTTCCAAAAGAATCTACTTTCCAAATGGCAATAAGGAAACAATTCTGTACTGGTGTGGAATTTCATTTGTTTTCATTAACACCTCAGATTTGCAGCCACAGAGAAAGGAGAGATGCTGAGAGAAGGACGACTTGGAGCCCCCAGAGCTCTTCTGGCAGCACGGTGCTCTCTGCTGGTCCCATCATTACTCGGAGTGGTAGGAGTGCTCCTCCTTCTGTATGTAGTAATAGACGATTCCAAAATGCCTTGTTACTTGGCTTCTAAGGAGAACTCAGAGTGGTTCCTAAACAGCACTAATTAACTGTGAGACAAGATAAACGGCTGAGCAACTTTAATTTCACAGTGGTTTTCCTGTTTACTCAACTTTCACACAAAGGGCAATATTTATTACATTTCCTGCTTACACACACACATACACACACACACACACACACACACACGCTCGTGCGTACACAGAGTATGCCATGCTCCTGGTTTTTTTGTTTCTTCGTTTGTTTGTTTTTTTGAGATGGAATCTCGTTCTGCCACTGGGCTGGAGTGAAATGGTAAGATTCTGGCTCACTGCAGCATCCACCTCCTAGGTTCAAGCGATTCTCCTGTCTCAGCCTGGAATGACAGTAGCTGGGATTACAGGAATGTGCCACCACATCCAGCTAATTTTTGTATTTTTAGCAGAGACAGGGTTTCACTATGTTGGTCAGGCTGGTCTTGAACCCCTGCCATAATGATCAGCCCTCCTCGGCCTCCCAAAGTTGCTGGGATTACAGGCATGAGCCACTGAGCCCAGCCCATACTGGACCTGTTTAATCACCCTGTGGGTCCCCTTTACCCTCCTCTGCCCTGCTGTCACCCATGACTACTAATTTGAGTGGACTGCATCTTCTAGCTCCCTTGCAGTCTAGTTTCTGGTTGGGCTTGACCATTAGGTGGTGCTGTAAGCAGACGGGAGGGCATAGAAAATGTGGCGTCCACAAGCTTCCTCCCAGACAATTCCCCCCTAGAACTACTCTGAAAACCCTCTCCTTATCCCATAACTGTACTCTCTGTCTCTTGTGATTTTTCTACATCTTTATAAATAGCCTATTAAACACTCTGTATATGGCCCAGTTTGAGTATCATTTGTTTCCTTTCACAATGCTGCATATTACATACTCTCATCTAGTGCATTCAGTTGTGCTCATGAATTTATATGAATGGACACAACTCTTTATAAACATATGTTCTCATGTATACAAATATACGTGCATACATGTATACACACACACGCACAAAATATAAAGGGATATAGAATTTGTAGATTTAAGTGAGTGTGAACCCAGAGATAAAACGCAGATGCAGTGTAAAAAAATCAGAAACTAAAGCCAGAAAAACTGGTTCTAGGTTTAGCTTTTGTTCTAACAAGCTATGTGACTAGAGATTTTACTTCATTTCTCTGGGCAAATGTTTCTTCATTTTTAAAATGAAAGTTTTAAAAAGTAGACTTTAAGATTTTTTTCTAACTCCATAGTTCTAAATTTGTGTCACAAGAGAGAATAATTCTGATTCAGATTATATGCTAATAATGTTTTCTCCATTTTATATCAACCTTAACACTGTTATTATGTTTTAGTTAAATTTTCGGTACATTTTCTCCCATGCTGCTCATCCCATAGTCAAAAGAAAGTTTTGCTTCAAATAGGCAAAACAGCAAAAAGTGATTTTGGCCCCAAAAATTCAGACAGTTGCCTTAATTACTTTCTTCCTTGTGTTCATGTAGACATAACATTATTTAGAAACAAACTAATTGGCCTTTTCAATAATGCAGAGATGTATTAAATATGAAATTTCAAACTTAGTCCATACTCCCTGAAGATTTTTGGTATTTGATTCCACTGGTTTAAAAATGACTCATTTGTGGCTTGTGAAAGGCCCAATTTTGATCTCTATCTAGCTGTGAGAAATAGCACATAGAATTACATTGAATGAAAACTCAGTTCTTGTTGCCGATAGTTAGGATTGCTTTTGGGTAGGCCCAAGAAAAGAGATTCTTATTTCCATGGAGCTTATCTAGAGCCAGTCTGGTATAAGAAAACAACTGTTAAAGTGACATTTCTTCTGTTCATCTTGGGTAGATGGCTTTTCCTCCTTAATTACCCTCTTACTTCCTTCTTGCCTATGCCAAATTAAGTATTACAAATTTTAAATAATTTGTTAGCTGTATTCACCCATTCTTATGCTGCTAACAAAGGCATACATGAGACTGGGTAATTTGTAAAGAAAAGGAAATTTAATGGACTCATAGTTCCACATGGGTGGGGAGTCCTCACAATCATTGCAGAAGGCGAAGGAAGAGTAAAGGCATGTCTTACATGGTAGCAGGCAAGAGAGCATGTGCAGGGGAATTACCCTTTATAAAACCATCAGATCTCATGAGACTTACTCACTATCATGAGAACAGCATGGGAAAAACCCACCCCCCATGATTCAATTACCTCTCACGACCTGTGGGAATTGTGGGAGCTATAATTCAAAATGAGATTTGGCTGGGGCCAACATAGCTAAACCATATCATTATTATAAAATAATTTTGAAAATGTAAAACAAAAATTCTAAGACCCCTGAAATTCCAGTAAAGATAAATAAGTAGAAGTCTCTAATTCTAACATAACTAACCGGCTGTCCAAGTTTATAGGTTTCATCCATCCCACGTCTCGTTGCCCAAAATATCTATGTTAACACCACTAAGAGGTATCACAATGCCTCTGATGTCATGCCTGGATTTCTTTCTGATTTTCAAACCCCTTCCACCTCAAGAATGTCATTTATTGCCCAACATGCTAGAGTTGTCCTGAAGTCACCTCGGGTTTCTCCACTGGCAGAGCACCCAGAGGAGCACACTCACACCTTCTCTCATTCTCTCTGGAATTATTTTTGAGTAATTTTGCTAAATAACATTTTGTCATGGTCTTCATTTTTTGGTCATCATGGTGGTCTCACTACTTAGAGGAACATATATAACAATGTTTACAGTGTAACACTATGCTATCCATGAAGAAATAGATGTTTTGACATTCCACATGAACACGGAACTCAGAACTCAAGCCATATCCATCCACAGGCAAATCCTGTACAAACTTCATGTTCAGCTTCATGACCAGAACTACCCTCTTTCATTAGTTCCATTTTATCAGAATTTATCTCTCCAGGTCCTGTGGCCAATTTTTTATAGACAAGTCCAGATCTGGCTTGATTTGCTCTCTGCCAAGCTCTCCAGTACTTGGAGGTTTTGCTCTATTTGCTCATTGAACCACTCCTTTTCTGTTGACATGTAGCTTAGGTCAAGTTCAGTAGTAAGTTGTTAAACTTCAGAACTCATGTTTTGTTTTGCTTTTTAATGAAATCAAATCCACTCTGGCTATTTTTTACCCAACATTGTTGATAGTTTTTTTTTTTTTTTACTTTACGTAGGAAAATCTTCATATCCTCAAAAGGCAACCCACAAAAAAATTTTCCAAAGTTATTTTTTTTTTTTGAGACGGAGTTTCACTCTTGTTACCCAGGCTGGAGTGCAATGGCGCGATCTCGGCTCACCGCAACCTCTGCCTCCTGGGTTCAGGCAATTCTCCTGCCTCAGCCTCCCGAGTAGTTGGGATTACAGGCATGTGCCACTGTGCCCAGCTAATTTTTGTATTTGTAGTAGAGACGGGTTTCACCATGTTGACCAGAATGGTCTCGATCTCTTGACCTCATGATCCACCCGCCTCGGCCTCCTAAAGTGCTGGGATTACAGGTGTGAGCCACCACGCCCAGCCCAAAGTATTTTTATTTAAAACTTCAGAATGCTATGTTCTCACTCATAGGCTGATATCGAACAATGAGAACACATGGACACAGGGAGGGGAGCATCACACACTGGGGTCTGTGGGGGGTACTAGGGGAGGGACAGTGGGGGGTACAGAGCTGGGGAGGGATAACATGGGGAGAAATGCCAGATATAAGTGATGGGGAGGAAGGCAGCAAACTATATTGCCATGTGTGTACCTATGCAACAATCCTGCACGTTCACATGTAACTCAAAACCTAAAATGCAACAAAAAAAAATATATATATATAATTAAAAATTAAAAAAAAAAACACAAAACTTCAGAATGCTAAAAGTGCTTAGATAGGGAAATGCTTATCCAAGGGTCAATTCTGGAAATCCAGAGCACCACGGTGAACAATACCTAATTGTTTTGTTTACTTCAATTCCTGTGGAGAAACCCAAGCTGTATACTTGTCAACTAGCATTGTTGAGTCTTGTGAGTAGTTAATAATTCATTGGCACATACTTGTAAGTCCCTACACGGGACTAGCACTGTTCTAGGAACTGGGAATACGTTAGAGAACAGGTCACAGACTGTCCTCAGGGATCTCAGAGTTCAGAGGTAGGAACAGACTATGAACAAATGTAACACTGTGAAAGGAAAAAGGTTGGAGCTTATTAACGTGAAATGTGTGGTCCATTTTACTACATAGGTTATTGAAGATTGTTTTAAGAAATAGTTTTCTAGTGCTAAGAGAAAAAAATTATTCCGCATATATCTTTGGTGGTCATTTTTTTCTATTTATTTCAACTACTTACATGAGAAAGCAGAGAATGACAATTTATCTGCCACTTCTGACTTTCAAATGGCTGTGGCATTGCTGCTATGACCTTTCTCCTGTAGGCTCTCCGATAGATAAATATCCTCCTGGAGAGCCCAAAAAGTTTGGTTTTCCAATCAGTTCTAATTCCAGAAGGCTTCAGGTGTTCCTTTTACCATTTATGTATATGTCATGACCAAGTGGGTTTGAGGGAAAAAGCAAGTCTCCTGAAAAATGTCTACCTGCCCTTGCAAGGCTAGGCAGTGCTTTGATTTTTTTGTTTTTTTTTTTTGTTTACAATAATACAAAAATCGGAGGCTACCAGAAATTGCATCTAGATAAAGCAATTCTCTCTTCCTTTATCCACTATCAAATACAATTTCAAATAGCATTCGAATATCACAGATTTCAGTTTCAACCACCTGCCAAAGATAGCATGCTTTCATTTTTCGGAGTCCTGGAATCTGGATTTTGTGGTTCCAGACTCATTTGGAAAAGGGAGTGTCTTGTCCCCACACAGGGAGATTTTGTCCACAGCCAAGTCCTCATTAGTGACGACTGAGATATTGTTTCTATGGACGTGTTGGTGGTAATATGGGGAGTCGGGGGAATAGCCTGACTTTTGTTAACCGTGCGATGAAGAAAATAGCAGGGAGAGCATAGTCATAGCCCTTTTGTCTTATTTGGGATACTTATTAGAAAGGAACTTTCTAATTTTTAGTGGAAACATTTTAATGCAATTAAGTGTGATTTCTAAAAAAGGAATAGCTTTGTGATTTCTAAAAAAGGAATAGCTTTTAAAAAGAAATTTTGGAGGCTTACATATTCTCCTCCTATGTTCCACTGAAGCAGCTCATCTTGGGAAAAGAGCACATGGATATTTTGGAAGAATTGATAATAGTCCATTCATCCCGCCTGTTTCTATGAGAAGGCAGTGTTAAAAAGTCATGTTGGTTAGAGGTTAGGATTTTTCTCAATGTTCTATAATAAAAATATTTTTTATTTTTCTTTTTGTCCTATAGCAATGCATTGCAGCATTCTAAAGAATCCTGAGTGCTGGATTAATTTTGAGCATTATACTTGAGGATCAGACAGCAGAACCATCATTTCTGCCAAAATTTATGTCTCTGAAAATAAATGGAATCAGATATTTTATAAATACCTCACCAGTTTCTCTCATTACTTGTTTTAAATAATAATCCTAAAGTTTCATAGCTTAAGATATTCATCTCCATAACCAGAAATATTTTTCATACTTGCTCAGCTTATATTATTTTAGAAAAAGGACTCTGAAACTGAGCTTTGTTTTAAGCATATGTTTACTCTGTCATAAAGGCTGTGACAGATGGAAATTTCTTTATCTGTAAAATGGGAGTCACAATAATATCCAAACCATATGGCTTCTGTGAGAATGAAATGTGATAATATATGAAACAGCACTTTATGAGCTATGTGGTTTTATACACACATTGATTGTAATAATATTTATACTCCAGAAATAAACAGTCAATTGCACACATTATATGGTTCAAATAACAAACACAAACATTAAATGCAAATATGAAATTATTTTTATTTCAAATATGAAATATGAGCTTGTTCAAGCTCAAGGGTTAATAGCAACATGATGACAAATTGGAGAACAAAAATCGGGAAATCAGGTAATATGTTCATTACATCTATTATGGCCTTTGCCAGGGAAAAGTGAAAAATCAACAGCTTCAATCTTACTTAACAGATGCAAATAAAACTACAACTCAAGCTCAGGAGTCATGTTTTCCTTTCATATAGTTATTAAGTGTGAATTTATCTTCTTGGAACTTAAAATGATGTGTTTGCAGATTATGTTGGGCAAATTGGCAATACTTAAAATAGAGTGGCACCAAATAATGAATTTTCTGTAGAAAAGAATAATAAATGCTAGGTTACAGGGCCATAAAAAATGCAATAGCTGTTAACAATTACTGCCCCCACTGACCTGACTGGAGAGCTGATGATGAAGCAAAGTTGGCAGGCAAGAATACAGCACAGTATATCTTTTATCCATTATGTTCACACTCCCAGGGCAGCGGCAGGATGTGGGTTTGGGGAGTGGAAAGATGGCAAAATCCAAGACCTAGGAATCAGGGCATGGAAAAGCAGAATGGTTTAGGAGGACTTTCATTTCTGCCTTACTCAAGGAGATCACGGATGAAGTAAGAGGAGATGTAGGTAAAGTGTAGGTACAAAGTAATCATGAATCAGAATAAACAAAGGTAAATGTTTGGAGAGACGATGTCACTTCTCTTTCCCTGTTTTTCCCCTCAGATGAGACTCCAACCAACAATTCACAACTTGGTAAGATGATCATCATCTTTTGCTGTGTTTTTTACATTTTTAATGATCAGTTACAAAGTTATAATCATCTAAGTGTACTGGGCTCGAGTTTTACAAGTTTGGTGCATTTTAGGTAACAGTTCACTGAGGGTTTTTTGAACTCATATGTGGTCTATTGGTCAGTTTTTATAGGATTTGCCAGCTTTTGTGTATTTTTGGTTTTGGCTGCCCATGGACAGCCTCTAAACCTTACAATCCTTTGGTGTTGGGTTGCATTAAAGTCAAATAGACTGTAACAAAATTCCGTGCCATGCTGCTATTCTATAAGATGCAATGAAAGGTTTTGCAGGTAAAATTGGTGTCTTTACAACTGGGTGTGTTTCATTACTTGCAGGTTCTCCAAGTGTGCCTCCTTTCCAGCTGAACGCCATCACCAGTGCACTGATATCAGGAATAGTCATTCTGGGAGTTACAAGCTTTTCTCTTCTTCTATGCTCACTGGCCCTTCTGCACAGGAAGGGACCCACCAGCTTAGTGTTGAATGGCATAAGAAACCCAGTCTTTGACTGACTATAACAGGTCCTTGCTCTCTGGAGAAGGCTGCACTGACTAAACTCTGTGTGACTGCAGTCAGTGTTCCATCTGAATTTCATGTCAGTCAGCATTCGATATTTGTAGGTTTGATAAATTTCACAGTGTAGTGTGTCAGTATAATGATAGTGAAAGAAGTTTATAATATTGCTCTTGTCACTTATGTGTGTGGCCAGCCCTATTTTTATTACACCAATGAATATACTGACAAGAAGTGAAAAATATTCAGGACTTACAGGATCAGTAATATTTCATTTTATTTCAATTTTCTTTTGATTGTTGTCTAAAAGATAAAAGGTGCGAGTAGACAAAAAATGAAATGTGTTGCATTTCCCCCTTAAGCATTAAAGCCCACTGCAGTGGCATTTAGATTTGCACATGTGGTCTTAGAATAAATGTTGCTTTTTGTTTTAATCCAGATATTCTCAGTTGGGGATGTGTTTTAATTGGACTGGCCAATTTGGATACCTGAGATTTAACTACTTATTCTAGGACCTCCTGTGTTTTTAGCTGATTTCCATGTCTGACAATATTCACTTTAAAAGAAACTCTTGAGACATATATCTTAACCTGGGGCATCCTTTTGTGTAGAAGATAGTGAAAATGCTTGTTAGCTTCCTAGGTAATACTAAGTGGCCCTAGATCATTATTCATTAGAATAGGATTGGCTGTGCTCAGTTTTCTTCTTTTGGTTCACTTGAGAACATCAGCACATGTTAATTCTCCCCTAGGTAAACAGTTCAGCTGCTCTTGCAGCTGTGCTTCCAGCAGTGAGGTAACTGTGCAAAGATTATTTTTAATTCAAGAATCATTACATGTGAAAACAAACTGTAGTTGTGAAAAGAGATCATTATCGTCAGCTCATAAGCATCCTGTTCCTGGAAGGATTTTTAACAATTTAGATTCCCCTTTTCCTGAAACAAAAGGAAACTTAGGTTAAGTGCAGTTTGTAGAACATTGCTAGAATCTACATAAAAAGATATTCTTTTCTTTCATATTTTTTATGCCAGGCAGTACAAATAATCAGGAGAGGGTTTCTTTTTAGGGTATCTTCTTGTAGGTGTTATAATTGCCATGAATAAACAATATTTTCTTCTAATAGTAAACTGCAAGAAGCATTTGATCCTTTGTCAGTTCTGCAAAACAGCAAATTTTAAGCAATTCATGTTCTTACCAAAAAAAAATCAATCTTTTCTTTGTTCAAGCTACCTATGCTCTGAACAAATCAAACAATTTAATAGCCAACACCAAAACCCAGCCTGTGAAGTGACTAGAAGTGCCGTGTTACCCATAAGCAATTGCTGTAATAACTAATTTCTATTCAACATTTGTGACCCATTAGTTGGGACTTAATTTATTATACTCCATGCAAATCATGAAGCAATATTAGATTGCTTTAAATGAAATGTCTACACTATGAGTTAGTAATTAAATCAATCATCAAGTTGAAAAACAATTTTTTCTCCAATTTACGTGAATATTTCAGGAGAAAGTGTTTATATTGCAATAATTAGCTATATAATTGCATCAACTTTGTATTTCAAGGTGTAGACGCAAAGTGAAGTGAGATCTGGAAAGTCTCTGGATAATCTCCTCAATGCAAAAAAAGTTTAAATCACATAAAAAACTAATCTACTTTTTCTTGTGTTACTTCAAAATAACTTTGAAGTGACCATTCTGAACTTTATCTGTGCTAATATCATTAACTGAGCATACCACTAATGTGACCCTATATGTACATGGGTAGTGTTGAAATATATGCTAGTAAATCTATTTCAGATACTTTAAGTGAATTACCATTGATTTTAGGATTAAGTTCTGTGAATAGGACATTATATCATTTAAGCTGTTTTGCCAATTTGAAGCTTTTGGAATGGACGTTGTTTCAGCTGTTAACCTTTTAAATTCTATACACCATTTTATAGAATTGAATAATGGACACATATCATTTGGGAAGCAACTTAAGTATCATTTTTTTTTGCCACCTTTCATCATCATAAATGGAAGAATAAGAGTTACAATGAGATAAACCAGGTCTGTTTTTTTTTTTTTTTACAACTTTGTTCTTATAAACCTGCAGTTATATGGAGTATTTAGTTATATTGAATTTTACAGTTGTTATAGTGTGAAAAACCTTATAAAATATGTGCAAATGTTTCTTCAGTTTTAATACCTCAAACTGTTTTTTGCACTTCAGGGGTAAGGTCTGATGACATGTAAAAGGTGATTGTTTAATAAAATAATTGTAAATGAATATCTTTAAAATGTCAACTTTTTTTAAAAAAATTTTCCTTGTTGCTTTTAACATCCTATTCCCACTTTCACAAGTATGGAGAGTCTCCAATTTATGACGGTTATATTTACAATTTTGACTTTAAGATGGGTTTATTAGAGTATTAAATGCATTGTCGAACTGTGATTTTTTTCATGTCTGATGAGTTTCTTGAGACATAATGCCATTGCAAGTTGAGGAGCATCGGTATTGAGAAAGTTTTAGTTTAAAATAAGCTGCCTAATGCAACAGGGAAGGTTGGTGATCTCTGTGGGTACATGAAGTCTGCCCTCTCAATACTAAGCCCTGTGTTGGGAAACACGTTCTTGATATCAGCTAAAGGTAAGGAAGTACATTTTTTGTTGAGCTTGAGCTCTAACTAAAATAGAACCTACAAGTTTAAAAACTTTGATTGGAACAGAAAAATCTGTAAAGACAAGGAGCTTGGCTTCTGTCCCGACTTTTCACAGTCTCCTAACTGCCAGCAGGATCTGGCTCTCTTCCTTTGTCTTGGGAGCGAGTTGGTAGGAAAGTGAGACAGTGTTGAGGCAAAATCCTTTTCCTGATCCAGAGATAATCCAGTCTCACACACTGGGCACTCCCCTCAACCCTTAAGTATTGACAATTAGCTTTGGGAGCCTCACAAGACATGATAGTTCATGAGGGGCATTGTCAGCTGCGGAAAATGTAAGGCTTCAGGGTAAAGTATAAAGCCTCACAGACAGTGTAAAGTATAAAGCCTCACAGACAGTGTAAAGTATAAAGCCTCACAGACAGCAAACTTCCAGAAGTGAAAGGAGAGCGGGCGTTCATGGGAGACCGTGGTTTGTGAACACGGGGTGTGAACGTAGCACGAAGCATAGTTTGAGGGACTGCAATGGGATCAAGGGCCAGAACACGTTTATTTTAGTTCCATATTTATAGGAAAAAGAGAAAGCTAATCATAGAGCAGTTACCTTTGGGAATGAGGTTCTTCAATTATTTACAAGCAGGGAAACATTTAAAATAAAACAATCTAAAGTGATAATTTAGAAAAAAAAATTTAAAAATACTTGGATAGTAAACAAAACAAATATCAGAGTGAGATGGAGCTTGTGTATCTCCATCTCACTCTGATGGAGTCGGGGCTCCCCAGAGAAAAATAATCTATTAGATATTGGTATATATGTTACATTTTACACATATAATATGTATGTGTGTTATACATATGTTATATATATATTTATATATGTTGTGCATGTGTGTGTGTAGCATAAGGTATTGGCTCACATAATTATAGAGACTCGACAAGTCCTAAGAATAGAATCACAGTTGACAAGGTGGGGATCCAGGAAAGCCGATGCTGCAGTTCCAGTCCAAAAGGTGGCAGGCTTGAGACCCTGGCAGACCTGGTGTTCAGTGCAGTCCAAAAGCAGGGAAACCAGTGTTTAAGTTTCAAAGGCAGGTAGGCAGAAGGAAATCAGTATGACTCACAGGAGGGTCAAACTTTTCTATTCAGGCTTTCAACTGATTGGAGGTATCATACTGCTAGAAAACAAAACTTCCTAATCAGTCCAGTGATATTTGGCAATTAATAAACATGTTACAACATCTGACAGTGCAATTGAAATGATTTAAAAGTATTTACTGTCTGGAGGTAAGGATAAGCAAAGAAAATCAAATGCCGCATGTTCTCACTCACAGGCGGGTGTTGAACAATGAGAACACATGGACACAGGGAGAGAAGCATCACACACTGGGGTCTGTTGGGGGAAATAGGGGAGGGACAGCAGAGGGTGGGGAGTTGGGGAGAGATAGCATGGGGAGAAATGCCAGATGTAGGTGAAGGGGAGGAAGGCAGCAAATCACACTGCCACGTGTGTCCCTATGCAACAGTCTTGCATGTTCTTCACATGTACCCCAAACCTAAAATGCAATAAAAAAGAATAAACATTCATGAATTTAGGGTCCTCTTTTATATTAGCTGAATAATATTGATCAAATGGGAGAAAGACAGGGCCATGAGTATGTGGGGAGTGATGAACTCTAAAGTTATGCAAAACTATTCCACAGCATCAAGAGAAACAGAGTACAAGGATGCATGGCCAGGTTGTATTTATTGGACCCATATCCTACAGGGTTGGCATCGGGGTGGTGGTAGCCAAGGAGAAGAATAATGACACCACCAGTGACAACAGGCTAGAAGCAGTAAAGAACATCAAACGGGGTAGCTGAGATAATAGGGGGCAGATGCAACAAGGGACTGCTGGATACTGGGAAAAGAGACCACTGCCACTTCTCAGGAGGAACTTAGTTCTTTGGTGGGAGACAGAACTAGAATCATTGACAGCTGTTACCCACATTCCTCATGACAGCTTCCTGTCCTCCCGAAGTTTAAAGGTAAGTGGAAACGGAATGAAAAAGTTATGTCTTCATGTCTGTGAGGATATCTTGCCTGATGGCTTATTGGCAAACACAGTCTCTGAAAATTTGAATAACACAAGAAATCTAAAATAGCCTTAATTAATGCCATGTTTTGCTGAGATAGCAAGAAGAAGATTCGTTTGGGGGCTTCTGATCATGTGGACTCGACATGGTCTTTAGAAATCTCTGCTCTAGGCCGGGCGCGGTGGCTCAAGCCTGTAATCCCAGCACTTTGGGAGGCCGAGGTGGGTGGATCACGAGGTCAAGAGATCAAGGCCATCCTGGTCAACATGGTGAAACCCCGTCTCTCCTAAAAATACAAAAAAATTAGCTGGGCATGGTGGCGCATGCCTGTAATCCCAGCTACTCAGGAGGCTGAGGCAGGAGAATTGCCTGAACCCAGGAGGCGGAGGTTGCAGTGTGCCGAGATCGAGCCATTGCACTCCAGCCTGGGTAACAAGAGCGAAACTCCGTCTCAAAAAAAAAAAAAAAAAAAAAAAAAATCTCTGCTCTATAATCTTCATTTTAAAAATGCTTTGTATTCCTGGCAAAGTGACATTGAGAACGCAGATTGTTATCTGCTTAGTTCAAATCTCCAATTCCCCTTTCCCTCAAGTATCTGGATATTTCCTTTTTTACTTAAATTGCCAACATAGCTACTTCAGTTTTCTCTTTCATTTTCAGTGAAGAAAGGAGCAGTGCTATCATTATACAGAGCTTTAGTCAAAGGCAATGCAGCCCAAATTTTGAGCTTAGTTTTCATCAGGAGCATAGCTTTGTTAGCATTGCCCAGAGTAAAATCCACTACTGAATAATCCTGCTGGTTTGTCTAATCAACTAACACTAGAAGATCTTGGGAGAGCTGTGGTTTGACAATTTCATGCAATCCTGACTCAAACTTATAGGGGTCCTGAAGCTATTTCTTCTCCTGTATGTAGTTTTGTAACTTATTTATCTATTATTACAGTAGTAAATAATTGTCTAAATTGAAAAATTACTCTAGAGGAAATATAGTTGCATTTATCAATTATTTATGACTTGGAGATTAGAACTTATTTATTTAAAAGCTATTGTTTCGCTAACATTTTTTGTGGCTGATAAAATGAGATGGCAGAAAATGATGGAGGATGCTTATTGTGAACAAAATGGAACCCAATAATTTCTGTTGAATCCTGTAAAGATAAGTCATAGGTGCTTCTTTGGTATCCCATCTTACTCTATAAATACAATGTGGAACAAAGGCGATCCACTATTGCTCACCGAAAGCTTTAATGTGAGCTGGGTGTGGTGGCTCATGCCTGTAATCCCAGCACTTTGGGAGGCCAAGGTTGGCAGATTGCTTGAGCCCAGGAGTTTAAGATCAGCCTGGGCAGCATAGTGAGATCCTGTCTCTATTTTAAAATTTCAAAAATTAAAACTTTAAAAAAACTTCAATGTTTTCTTTCCACTTTGTCAATGGATATATATTGAGAGTTGCTCTTATTTCACAAACTAATCATCAGTATGGATGATTCATGCCTCTAAGACTTGATCAAAACTCTTTTTTGCCATGAATATTGTGATTAAACTAATAGGACCTATGGTTATTTTTCAAAGATATTCCAGGCTGAAGAAGCGTGCATGCATTTGGCCTTGGATTCACAGCTGGATGTGTAAAGAACTGCCTGGTTACTATCACAGTGTTTTCCAAATCCACATGGCACATTCCCCAGGACGGTTTCCACAGACCCATAGGAATTCTCCTTAAACTTGTCCTCCATTGATTTCCATAATTTTCTTCTCTTTGTAATTCCTGAAACTTTCAAACCCACAGAAAACTGCAGACAGCAATGTAACAGCCACAGAAGTTTTACCATCTTGGATGAACAAATATGCATATATTTTTTATTGTTTCAGATCTATAAAGTAAAATTTGTATTTAAGTTGAAGTCCATCCTCTCCTCCTTTCTAAACTAATTTTTCTAACTATGTATCTAGAGGAATAAGTTGCGTGCTTTCTTCCCATCCATTGAAAAAATGGCTACATGTGGGTATTTTTCAAACAACAGAGTTTTAATGTTCTCATATGTTATATTTCCTTATCATACTATATGTTTTCTTTTGTGTGCTGATTTTTGAAGTCAGCAGCATGTTCCTGAAATTTCTTTATCTTAAGACAGATCAATTTCATGACATTTTTACATTCCTGCCTCAATAACTTTTGGCTTGAATTATGTTCTAACAATTATTACTCTGTATATTTTATAAAAAAAAGTCCTTTTCTCTCCCTCTCCCCTTTTGGCCTTCAAAATTGTCTTGGTTCTTTCCTGCATCTTACTTTTATGTATGGATTTTCAAAGCTGATATCATGAGAAAAACTATGTTAAAACTTTGATTGGAATTACATTGAAGTTATAGATTAATGGGGGAAAATTGCCACATTTTTGATACTGAAGAATTTTTTTCCATCGTCAGTCTTGTTCTATTGATCCACTTATTCAAGTCTTCTTGTAATACCTTCAATTGAGTCTAGTACTTTCTTTATAAAAATCCATAATACCTGAGTGCTGTGGCTCGCGCCTCTAATCCCAGCACTTTGGGAAGCCAAATTGGGCGGATCACGAGGTCAGGAGATAAAGACCATCCTGACTAACACGTTGGCACTCAGTCTCTGCTAAAAATACAAAAGAATTAGCGGGCGTGGTGGTGCGCACCTGTAGTCCCAGCTCCTCGGGAGGCTAGGGCAGGAGAATCGCTTGAACTTGGGAGGCAGAAGTTGCAGGGAGCCAAGATCAAACCATTGCATTCCAACCTGGGCAATAGAGTGAGACTCTGTCTCAAAAACAAAACAAAACAAAAATTCACAATATACAACTTTGGTTAAAGTTATTTGTACACATCAAAGGTTTTGGCAGCTATGATAAATGAAATCTTTTCTGGGAACCAAACTTTCTGATTACATATTGCTGCTGGATAGAAATGTTAGGGATTCTGTTTTTATGTTTTATTTCCCACTATTGACAGAGCACCAAGTGTGTATTATGACCCTTCTGACTGTGGATCCCCCTCAGACCTGCTCAGGGCACCACACGCCACAGTGAGGCTCTGGACCAAACACTTTCATTCAAAGTACTCCTTATTTTTCTCAGTAACATCCTTGGAACTTTTTAATTTTTATTATGTTTTATTTTTTGAGATAGACTCTTGCTCTGTCACCCAGGCTGGAATGTGGTGGTGTGATCTCTGCTCACTGCAACCTATGCCTCCTGGGTTCAAGTGATTCTCCTGCCTCAGCGTCTTGAGTAGGTAAGATGACAGGTGTGCACCACCATGCCCAACCCAGCTGATTTTTGTAGTTTTAGTAGAGATGGGGTTTCGCCATGCTGGTTAGGCTGGTCCTGAGCTCCTGACTCAGGCAATTCATCTACCTCAGCCTCCCAAATTGCTGGAATTACAGGTCTGAGCCACTGTGCCCAGCTAGAATTTTTTATTTAATCACATTTTATTGTCTTTATCTCTTATGTGAAGGTTTTTCAAAAGGGTTTTTGGAGTGCTACTAAGTAGTGTTAGTCATTCAGGGAAGTGTTTTGTGTCATGGGGAATTTCTGGAAGTGTTGTTAGCCCAGGGGCTTGTTCTGAATGTCAAGCTCGGCCCGGCAAAAGTAGGTGAATAACAGTGATCAGAGGACATTGCATTTTGTCAGCTCTTACGTGAGT